GTGTCCATGCGGGAGTTGGGCGACTCGACAGTCTCGGGCGACACGCCGGTCATGTCGACGTCGGGGCCGTCGGCGGGCTCGGTAGGGTTGGCCTCGTTGTGCTGCCGGTGGTCTGTCTCGGGGACACCCACCTCCATGTCTACAGCACCGTTGGGCTGGTCTGCAAACACAGACAGAGGGGAGAAGAGGGGAGGGGAGGGGTGGGTGGCTGGTGTGGGGGAGGGAGGGCTGCGAACCGTCATCGTTGTTGTTGTTTGCGGTCTCCATGTTGCCCTCTATCTCCTCCTCGATCTCGTCTTCCTCCTTCTCGCGCTCCTCCTTGGTGGTCTTGTCGTCATCCTCGGCCTCGTCAGCAGGCTCCCTGCCGACACACACACAGACAGACAGACAGACACACAGACATGGAGAGAGAGAGAGAGAGAGAGAGAGGAGAGGCACACGTGGGCTGGGTGACGTGACGCTTTGTGTGATTTCTTTGGCTGAGCTCACTCAATCTTGTCACAGTTCTCGGCGGCCTTCATTGATTCACACATACAGCCAGGAGAGAGTCAGGTGTGCACTCACAGCGAGCCTTGGTGCCTTCCGTGTGTGTCTGGAAGGGGGGGTGTGGGGTGGGACATCTGACCTTGGAGTCCTCCGGCCTGCCGATGGTGCACACCCAGCGCTTGTCCCTCTCGCCCAGCCACACTTGCTGCACCCACAACACAACACACGTAGGCGTGACACCAACTACTGTCGCTTTGTGTGTATGTGTATGTGTGTGAGTGTGTGTTGTGTGTGATGCCCCTGAGCTGACCGCTGGCAGCGTGGTGTCGTCTTCAGTGAATATCTCATGCTCCCACTTGGCCGCGTCACTTTTGTGGCCCGGCTGGATCCGGGATATGATCAGGTGGCTCGTCGTCAGACCCCTCGCACCGCTCAAACCCAGACCTATTTATGCCACACAACCACACACACGTGTGTCCCCCTCTCTCGCTGTGTGTGGCTGGTGCTGCATGGGCGTGGCTGTGTCTGTGTCTGTGTGTGTGGAGAGCACTCACTCGCTAAGTGCTGCAAGATGTCCCGCTTGAAGTCGTCGCTCGTCAGCTGAGGACGCTGCTTCTCGCCATCCTCACCACCACCACCACCCTCGCCCTCCCCATCCGCCACGGACCGTCCCTCAGCGACGCCAGCTGCCGCACTGCTGCTGCTGCTGCTGCTGGCATTGGCACCAGACGGGCCGTCGAGGGCATCGAGCGAAGAATGGGGGGGCCCCGGGGCAGCAGCGGCTGCTGCTGCTGCTGAGAAGGAGGAGGAGGAGGAGGAAGAGGACATTTGCATGTGTGCGTCAGATGTGGACCCCGTCGCAGCTGGGGGTGGGTCAGCGGGGGGGTGGGCGGCGGCGTGGGTGTCCTCCAGGTACTCCACCAGGGCCTCCTGATGAGACAGACAGACGGTGATCCATCCATCCATCCAATAGTGAGGGGGCCAGAGGGGGTCGCTCGTTTGAGTGTCGGTGTGTGTGTTTGTGTTGGCTTGGCTTGGCTTGGCTTACAATGATGCTCTTCTTGAACTCTAGGATGGTGCCCTTGCTCGAGAAACCGATTGCTGCAGCAAAGCAGCGAGCGCAGCAGATGGCATCCATCACACCAGATGACGACACACGACACAACACCTGGCGGCGGTGTGTTGTTAGGTGACGTACCGAGTTCTGCGATTCTGCTGGCCACACCAGAGCTGATGTTGAGATTCACCTGCAGTGCAGTGCGCCCATCACATCAAGGACGTGCCACACAATCCTCCGCACGACCCCCTCTCCTTTGTGAGCTGGCAGTCGTGGCAAACTGACCAGGTGGTAGCTGTCCTTGACGTATGGAATGGGCACCGACAAGTAGAAGAATGGGTCGAATGTGATGGACACCTGCACACACACCACACCACACACCACACAGACATACAGTCGTTTCGGTTCTTTGCCCATCCGGACCTCCCTCCCTCCCTCTCCGGCAGCGCAGCACAGCTCACCTACCTTCTTACAGACGGGGCAGTCGAGCCTTGAGCGGTACTGCCCCTGGATCAGATCAACTATGATGCTGTCGTTCCGGCGCTTGTGACTGATCAATCGACAACACACCAAGCCACACACACACACACACACCGAGTAATGGCTGTTGGTGGCTGGGAGGGTGGGTGGTGGGCTGAAGGGAATGGCCCCAGACAGACAGACAGCCATACCCGTCCCAGGCGAGTCGTGCTACTTGTGCGTCCGGCCGGCCGTCGCCGCCCTCTGCGGCCTCGACGTACGGCTTGATGAGCACCCTGTTGAGGTCTTCGTGCAGACCGTCCAACAGGAACCCCAAAAACTCCTGCGAATCCTGCTGCGCATACCTACCACACACGGTGGCATCACACACACACGTGTGTGTGTTGTGTTTTGTGCGTTGTGTTGGGTGTAGGCTCACCCAGCGAAGTTTGGCGCCTTCTTGGCGATGACGCGTTTGAGGTCGATGGGTGCGATGTGTGACCGGCCGGTGGTGAAGAGGTCCTGCAGCAGACTGGCGTACGTCTTGGCCAGCTCGCCCTTCATGCCGATAGGGTTGTCGTAGTTGATCTCCTGGTGGACACACCGACAGACAGACAGACAGACAGACAAGACACACAGAGAGAGAGAGACGTATGGGGGCGTGGGTGGTGTCTCTGTCTTTGTGTGTATGTGTGTGTGCCTGTGTGGCTCACATTCTCATATTCCGGGTTCAGAAAGTACTCAGCGAGTGCGTCCGTGTGCGCCAGGCACTGCAGGGCCGAATTCATGAAGCACGCTGCATTGTGTCACCCACATGTGCACAGAGAGAACACAATGACCGCTCCTGTCTGTCTTCCTGTGTTGTGTGCGGTGCTCTGTCTGTCTGTCTGTCTGTCTCCCTCACTGTTGCCGAGGTTGCTCAGCCCGACGTTTCCGTCATTCCGAGCAGCTCGCTTCCTGCACCGCACCAGCCAACCAGCACACAAACACACACGGTGGAGTGCACCCATCCCATATATCACACGGCATCGCCCCTCCCCTTCTCACCTGTGCAGCAGGTTTGTGGCCTGGTGCAGTGCGCTCGAGGCATAGCTGCCCACCATCGACATGCCGCCTCCCACGTAGCTCCCAACCTTGGCGGCCGTGCTGAACAAACCGGTGCTCGACGACGAACCACCCACACCCGCACCCACACCACCACCCGCACCGGCTCCCGCCGCTGCCGCACTCGCACTCGCACTGCTGCTGGCATTGACTCCGCGCGTGTGGTGCGAGTTGAGGTCGTACGATGGGATGTTTTTGCGGACGAGAAAGCTGGGGTTGGTGCTGCTGCTGCTGCTGGATGAGGATGCGGCCGCGGCTGCACCACCACCGGGCTGGTGGAGGGACACTGTGGGTCGGTGGGGCTCGTCACTGTCGCCTGAGGACGACAGGCTGGCGGGCTGGGGCGGCTTGAACCGAGGCTGCCCGTTAGCATACGGAATCTGCAGGCACCGCACACACACGAACCAAGAAAGATTTTATGATATTAATGGGGTGCGAGTGGTGCGAGTGGTTACACACATACGTCTACGAGCACTACGACGTCCTTGTCGATGGTGCAGTCCTCGAGGAGCTGATCGCCGGTGCCCTCCACCTTGGTCCACTTGAGACGCTTCAAGTCGCTCTCGTCCTCAGGATTGTCACACTGCACGGCAGGAACAGGTGAGGTGCGTGTTGAATCGTTTTCTTCTGACTTGCTTCTTCCTCTCTTCTGCATCTATCGGCTGGCTCTTTGTGTGCGTCCGTCCCGTCCCGTCCTGACCTTCCACAGGAAACACATATGCTCCATCCCCCCCATGTTCAGCCTCTCAGCCAGCTGCAGCCAACACACCACACACCAACACACATCCGCCCCTGTCCGTCTGTTTGTCCGCCCACAGTCTTTCGACCTTTTTCCGGAGTCCCTTGAGCGTGGTGTCCGAGAGCACGGTGACGACGTGTTGCTCCTCCTTGATGGAGCCGTCCTCCTCGGCCTGCCGCACACGGAGCGCCAGCGGCACCAGGTCCACCTTGAGCTTCCCGTCAGAGGGGTTGGTGTAGACGCTGCGGGGCACCGCCACGTCGTAGTCGACGTGCTTGGACAGCAACTCCCACACTGCACAGCACAGACAAACGACACACATCATGATGTATGTGGTGGGCGGATGCCCTGAATGCCCTTATGAAGAGTGTGTATCTGTCTGGTCGCCTTACCCTCTTCAGGGACGGTCACATACTCCTAAGACAAAGGGCAACCAACACACGCAGCAACGTCATAAGTCTGTCTGTCTGTCTGTCTGTCTGTGGGTGCGTGTTCCCCTCCCTCCCTCCCATCCGTATGCTGCCACTGAGTGCGGCTCACCGGTATGAGTGTGTCCACGACTGGCGTGAAAGCGTCGACCGTGTTGGGGATGGGCTCCTTGATCAGCCGCTTGATCTCCAGTCGCTTGCTCAGCAGCTCCTGCGATCGCCCGTTCTCCAAAGCGTCACCTGCCCACGACGGTATCATATACCTACACACCACAACACAACACACACACCGATGTGATGTGATGTCATCTGTCTGTCGGCATCACATCCATCGTGTAGCTCTCCCTCCCCTCCCCTCCCCGGCGCATGCCATGTTTCGGTTTTGCTCTTCGGCCGCCATTTGGTGGTCATGATTTGAGAGGCCTTGTCCAGGTCGGCCTTCTGATCCAGCTCGTCCAAGTCCATGACCGCACTGCACCGCACAACCACTAAACACGCCGCAGCGTCCCTCTACTACAGGACGCCAGTGTCAATGCGGGCAGGTAGAGTCCTTTGCCTGCAGCCGCCGGTGTCTTCGTCCTCGCAAGGCAGATCCGCGCACAACGTGGCTGCTCTTCAGCGACGCTGGCCACGGAACGTTAGTGCTTTCTGCCCTCTGAAAAACCGAAATGCTTAAGTCGAGCTCGCAGGTTCGTTTTACGGCGTGGCTCTCGGGCAGCGAATGAGACGGTAAGGCAGCTTGTGTGTGCTTGGCGGAGCAAGAAGCAGCAGCTGGTGCACCTGATCTATCCATCGAGGGGGTCATCTGATCTGCGCATGGCCATCGTGCTGGCGAGGCGGTGATTTTTCATCATCATCGGTGAGTGGCGCCTCTGTCTGTCGATCTGCCAGCCAAGCCAGCCTTTATTGATTGACAAGAGCAACAAACAGCATGGCCATCCCCTCTGTCGTCATCGCCTCGGCGCTCCTCCTCGGAGTAGCAGCGCTGGGAGCCAATCTGCACTCACGACGACCTGAGCTTCCCCCTGTGCACACGGCTGGCTTCGTCCCCGCCTCCCCCCTGTCACTGCACTCAGCGGCCGGCGGCCGACCTTCGCGGCTACGGTCGCGACACGGCGGCGTGTTGGTGCCACTGGAGATGTCGATGGCTACGCTTGAGAGGAAGACCAAGAAGCCAAAGATCCAGGTGAGTGAGGGGTGGAGAAAGGGCATCACAGCCATGCCATGGAGGGGTGCAGATGGAGAGAGCTCATGACACACATGCATGTGGTGTCTGCTTGCGTGTTGATTCATTGATTCATTGGTTGTCAGTTGGGCAACAAGGGCGAGAGCGGCATGTTCACCGACAGCTCCCCCGAGAGCCGCCGCGTGATCCCCCCCAGCCAGGACACCCGCGCCAAGTTCAAGGTGGTCTATGTGGTCCTCGAGTCTCAGTATCAGGCCGCCCTCACACAGGCGTGCAACATGATCAACCAGCAGCAGGAGGGCGTCTCTGTCGAGTGTGTCGGCTACCTCCTCGAGGAGCTGCGCGACCCTGCCAACGTCGAGAAGTTCCGGCAGGACGTCGCGACGGCCAATGTATTCCTCGGCTCGCTGATCTTCGTCCAGGAGCTTGCTGAGAAGGTGGTGGAGGTGGTGTCGCCTCTGCGCGAGAACCTGGATGCCGCTGTGGTGTTCCCCTCGCTGCCTGAGGTGATGCGGCTGCAGAAGCTGGGGAGCTTCTCGATGGCCAGCATGGGGCAGAAGAAGTCGATTATCGGGGACTTCATGAAGAAGCAGCGGATGCAGCAGGGGGCCAAGTTCGAGGAAGACATGCTCAAACTCGTCCGCACCCTGCCCGAGGTGAGATGACTGACACGACCAGACAAGACAAGACACAGAGGGGGGCTGATGTGATGCACTCGATGGATGCACTCATGTGTTCGTGTGTGTGTGTGTGTGTGGTCAGATTCTCAAGTACCTTCCGAGCGACAAGGCCAAGGACGCCCGGTCCTTCATGATGTCCTTCCAGTACTGGCTGGGCGGCTCTCCGGAGAACCTGTCATCGATGTTGCTCATGCTGGCTGACACCTACTGCAAGGTGAGAGAGACGAGACAGATGGGGAGGGAGGGAGGGAGGGAGGCACCGAGAGGGGAAGAATTGCCGACGGGCACTGTGCTGTCTGTGCGGCGATGTGTGTGTCAGGGCATCAAGGGTGAGAACCTTGTCAACAAGGCCGACATCGTGGCCCCCATCCTGCTGCCCGACAAGGTACACACGTACACACACCGCATGACAAAGCCCGCATGAGCCACATTCATTGTGATTGGTATTCCCCTGCCCTCGCCTCCCCCTGTGTGTTGCTCAGGGCATCTGGCACCCAGTGGCTGACCAGATCTTCGACCGCCCCTCAGCCTACTTCGAGTGGTACGACAAGGTGCACTGCCCGGCGGCCGGCATCGACGTCGAGACGGCCCCCACCATCGGCATCCTGGTCCAGAAGTCGCACATCAACACGCGCGACGAGTGCCACTACACGGCCCTCATCGCCGACCTCGAGGCCCGCGGTGCGCGTGTGGTGACCATCTACTCGGGAGGCCTGGATTTTTCCGGTCCATTGGAGGAGTTTTTCTACCTCAATGGCTACCCCTCGGTCGACGCCGTCATCAACCTCACTGGGTACGTCAATCAATCAGCCTACCAGACAGACACACATACCAGCCACACTGGTGCCCGTGAATGGATGCCTGTGTGTGTGTGTGTCACATGATGTATGTGTGTGCAGCTTCGCGCTGGTGGGCGGCCCTGCGAGTCAGAACCATGAGAAGGCCGTCAAGGTGCTCAAGAAGCTGAACCGGCCGTACCTGTGCGCCCTACCGCTGGTCTTCCAAACCTTTGAGGAGTGGAAGAAGTCCGAGTTGGGCCTCCACCCAGTGCAGGTCGCCCTGCAGGTGTCCTTGCCCGAGATCGACGGCGCCATTGAGCCCGTCATCTTCGCGGGCCGGGAGGGGCTCACGGGCAGGAACGTGCCCATGAGTGACCGCATCGACCTCCTGGCCGAGCGGCTGCTCAAGTGGGCCACGCTTAGGAGGAAGGAGAATAAAGACAAGAAGGTAGGTGAGGGAGGATGGGAGGGAGGGAGAGAGGGAGGGAGGGGTGACAGGTCTGCTCATCCATCCATTTGCATGGCTGCTGGTGCGTCTCTGTGCTGTGCCTGTGTCAGCTTGCTGTCACGGTGTTCTCGTTTCCCCCCGACAAGGGCAACGTCGGCACGGCTGCCTACCTCGACGTCTTTGGATCCATCCAGTACGGCACGGCACCACACAACAGACACGCCCCACGCGACACCCTCTCACACATTGATTACGACCCTTGTCAATCAATCTCTCTCCTGTGCTGTGTTATCGTCCCTCAGAGAGATGCTGGGTAATCTCAAGAAAGACGGGTACGACATGGGCGAGATCCCCGAGAGCCCTGAGGCCCTCATGGATGCCGTCCTCCACGACAAGGAGGCCAAGTACGACTCGCCATCGCTCAATGTCGCCTACCGCATGCCCGTCGACGAGTACGAGAAGCTCACCCCGTACCACAGAGACCTCGAGGAGGCCTGGGGCAAGGCACCTGGTCAGCCAGCCATACGGATGGCACAGGGGAAACAGGACATCGAGTGTGACTTTTGGTCTCTGTCTCTGTGTGTCTGTGTGTGTGCTTGTTGGTTCTTGTGTCTGTCCAACGAACAAACAGGCAATCTGAACTCTGACGGGCAGAACATGTTGGTGTTCGGCAAGCAGTTCGGTAATGTCTTCATCGGCGTGCAGCCGACCTTCGGCTACGAGGGCGATCCGATGCGTCTGCTCTTCTCCAAGAGCGCCTCGCCCCACCATGGCTTCGCCGCCTACTACACCTACCTTGAGAAGATCTTTAAGGCCGATGCCGTCCTCCACTTCGGCACACATGGGTCGCTCGAGTTCATGCCCGGCAAACAGGTAAACTTGCCGGGCATTCAGCTGTCTGTGCACTCGAGTGATAATGGCGTTTTGTGTCTGTCTGTTGTTCCGTGTTCCGTCAGGTGGGAATGTCCGGGACGTGCTACCCCGACCGTCTGATCAACTCCATCCCCAACCTCTACTACTACGCAGCTAACAACCCCTCAGAGGCCACCATCGCCAAACGCCGCTCCTACTCAGCCACCATCTCATACCTCACACCACCAGCAGAGAACGCCGGCCTCTACAAGGGCCTCAAGGAGCTCTCCGAGCTGGTCAAGTCCTACCAGGGTCTCAGGGAGAACGAGTCTCGCGGGCCGTCCATCGTCAACTCCATTGTCGCATCCGCACGGCAGTGCAACCTCGACAAGGACATCAAGGACCTGCCGGCAGATGACTTCGACACAAAGGAGCTGTCCATCGACGGGCGCGACGCTCTGGTGGGCAAGGTGTACCGGAAGCTGATGGAGATCGAGTCACGGCTGCTGCCCTGCGGACTGCATCGCATCGGCGTCCCGCCGACTGCCGCAGAGGCCGTCGCCACTCTGGTGCAGATCGCCACCATCGACCGGCCCGATGACGGCATCAAGTCGCTGCCCCGCATCATTGCTGAGAGCGTCGGCCGCGACATCGATGAGATCTATGCCAATGCTGACAAGGGTGTGCTCGATGATGTGGACCTGCTCTACAGGATCACTGAGGCAACCAGGTGAGAATGAATGAATGCGACACAACACACACTCAATGAGGGGCGAGGTGACTGCACCAATCCACGTCTCTCCCTCTCTGTGTGTGCGCGCGTGCAGGGCCGCTGTTGGTGCTGGTGTTGCGCAGTCGACCGACTCAGAGGGTCGTGTGAAGGAGGTGAAGCCGGTGTTCGAGCAGGGGATGACCCTTCTGCAGGGCATGATGGGCCAGGCGTCTCCATGGAAGAAGGCTCTCGCGGATAGTGGATTCCCCAACGCAAAAGAGGTCAGGAATGGCACAATTCACTCACGGCACGGCACGCGTGCATTTGGACGCTACACGCACCCCCTCCCTCTGTGTGTGTGTGGATCCATCCCATCAGGAGTCGCTTTCGCCCCTGTTCGAGTACCTAGAGTTCTGCCTCAAGCAGGTGGTGGCCGACAACGAGATGGGCGGCCTCCTGCAGGGCCTCAACGGCGAGTACATCCTCCCCGGCCCCGGCGGCGACCCCATCCGCAACCCAGGCGTCCTCCCAACCGGCAAAAACATGCACTCCCTCGACCCCCAGGCCATCCCCACCAAGCCGGCTGTCGACGTGGCCTTCAAGGTCGTCGACAGGCTGCTGGAGCGGACCAAGGCCGACACGGGCGACTACCCCCAGTCTGTGGCCTTCACCTTGTGGGGCACCGACAACATCAAGACGTACGGCGAGTCGCTCGCCCAGGTGATGGCCCTGGTGGGTGTGCGGCCGGTGCCTGATGCCATCGGACGCGTCAACAAGCTGGAGCTCATCCCTCTCGAGGAGCTCGGCAGGCCACGAGTCGACGTCGTGGTGAGTGAGTGAGTGAGAGAAGGAAGGAAGTTGGTTGTCTGGACGGACGGAATCAGGCAGCTCAACGTGTCTGGGTCTTGGGTCTTGGTGTCCGTGTGGTGTCAGGTGACGTGCTCGGGCATCTTCCGTGATCTGTTTATCAACCAGATGGCCCTCCTCGACCGGGCCGTCAAGATGGCCGCCGAGGCGGACGAGCCCACCGAGATGAACTTCGTCAGAGCACACGCGCTCCAGTCGGCCAAGGAGCTCGGCCTCTCCGTCCGCGACGCCGCGACCCGGGTCTTCTCGAACGCCGCCGGGTCTTACTCGGCCAATGTTGGTCTGACGATTGAGAACGGCGGCTGGGACAGTGAGCAGCAGCTGCAGGAGCAGTTCCTGTCGCGCAAGAGCTTTGCGTTCAATGCGGACAAGCCTGGCGAGATGTCGCACCAGACGGACCTCTTCAAGGCCAGCCTCAAGACGGTCGACCTCACCTTCCAGGTGGGTCTGGTGGGTGGGTGGGTGCGTGGGCAGTGGATGGATGGATGGATGTGGTGTCTTCCTTCCTCCTATCTGTCTGTTTGTGTCAGAACTTGGACAGTTCAGAGATCTCCCTCACTGACGTGTCCCACTACTACGACTCCGACCCTACTAAGGTGGTGCAGGGCCTCCGGGACGACGGACGCAAACCGACCTCATTCGTCGCTGACACCACCACAGCCACCGCACAGGTATATACGCACACACGCACCCCCACACACACACGCGCAACATGCAACATGCTGCCTGCGACCATCGATGGTGTCTGTCGGCGGGGTGGTTGGTCGTGTGTGTCAGGTGAGGACGTTGTCCGAGACGGTTCGTCTGGACGCGCGCACGAAGCTGCTGAACCCCAAGTTCTACGAGGGCATGATGAAGACAGGCTACGAGGGCGTGCGGGAGATCACCAAGAGGCTCAGGAACACTATGGGCTGGTCAGCCACCTCGGGAGAGGTACGTCAGACCGACATTGCCAAACCACACCATGCCACACCACACCACACACAGAGAGAGAGACGGAAGCCGGCATTGATCATCCGTGTTGCTGTTGGTGTGTGTGGTTGGGTTATCATCATGTATGTCAGGTTGACAACTTTGTGTACGAGGACGCCAACGATGTGTTCATCAAGGACGAGGCGATGCGGCAGCGGCTGCTGGAGACCAACCCCAACTCATTCAGGGACATGGTCACCACCTTCCTGGAGGCCAACGGACGGGGCTACTGGGACACTTCAGAGGAAAACATCAAACTGCTGCAGGAGCTCTACCAGGACGTCGAGGACAAGATCGAGGGCGTCAAGCCATGATCTGCTCGCTCTGTCTCTTGTCTTGGTGTCGTGTGTGGTGAGGTGTTTTCCTTCCTTCGTGAGAGATATGATATGGACGTGTGCCGTTTTCCCTTCCCGTGGGCTGAGCAAGTTTTCCGCAGCTGCTGCCTGGCCTGATGTGATGGGGTGTGCATGTGGGCTGGCTGGTAGGTATTTTTGTCGCCGATGGGTCGGTCGATATGATGGGGGGTGGCGTACGTGACGTGGATGTCCTGCTGAAGGACACACGTGTGCTGAGATGAGGTGAGATGAGATGAGATGAGGTGAGAGGCCCTGTGCGTCCTGTGCATAAGTAGGTGCGAGCGAGCGAGCGAGGCGAGAAAAGGAGAGACGACCGGTTAGGTAGATGGTTGTGTTGTGGGCGAATTGCCGCGAGCCCAGCCCACTGACTGCCCACCCCACCCGCCCATACGATGAGCCAGCGTGCGTCGGGCGAGGAGGGAGGGTGTTTTTCCGTCGCGTGCGTGCGTGCGTGAGTTATGACATACGTGTGAGACAGACGAGAGCAGTGACTTGCCTTGCCTGGCTGAGGGGGAGAGGGGGAGTGAAGTGACGACTGGCCTATTGCTTGCTGCTGATTGGATTGGATTGGATTGGATGTGGGGAGTGTGGGGTGTTGACTGACCATGGTGCATTGATTGGTGCATTCTTGCATGCCATGGGAGGCGAGAGAGATGCGTTCGCATTCATTCATGCCTTCATGTCTTCATGTCGTCAGTCATCCGTTTTGGATCAGGTCGGACCTGCCTACCTACTACTGCGATGTCTCGCATGCCTTGCGCGATGATGATTTTTGGGGCCGGGGTGTGGTGTGAGGTGTCAGATGGATCGATGGGATGGGTGGGGCCATGTCCACCAGTGCATACCTAGTCCGAGAAAGACAAAGGTGTACAGTCGTGTGTCAGTGAGTGAGTGAGAGAGGAGAGGAGAGGAGAGGGGCTGAAGGTCTCGTTCGTCCTGTCCAATGAACAGAGAGGCAGACAGACAGACAGACATGCACGCACAGCACAAATGGGGGATGTGGCACATCGATCGCATCAGTGGTGGTAATTGATTGATATATCTCGATCGAGTCGTTCTAATGCTCGTGTGTCCGTCCGTCCGTTTTTCTGTAGAACCAGTGCACTACATACACACAGTCTGTCCTGTCCTCTTCACCCTCCTCCCTCCCCTGGCCCGTTTTCCGCGTGTGTGTGTGGATGAGTGCCATGCCCTGCCCAACGCCCTTTTGCCTGCTTCCATCCAGCCGTGCACTGCACCCAGGCTCACACACCAGCCAGCCAGACAGCCGTCAGTCAACGTTCCTTCCTCCCTCTTGCTTACAAACAAGGCAGCAAGGGCCTTCGTGGCTCTTCCTACTGTCCGTCACTATCTCTGCGAATGCGGTCAGGATGTGGGGTAGTGTTTTTTCTCCTCTTGTGGCATACACGGCCGCAAGCAAGACCAGAACACCACCCTTGTTGCCCGCTCGCCCACTGGTACAGCACTTCCTTTTCTCCCGATCCACGTGTGTGTGTGTGTGTGGATAGTGTCTGTGAATCCTTCGGGACGTTCATTGAGAGAGCGAGAGGGGCGGTCACACACACACACACACGAGTCGATATACACTCACCCACCCACCCACCCATTCACCCGTCGATGAGTTTTTCCCAGCCATGCAGCCCAGCGAGGGAGGGAGGAAGGGAATGGGCGAGCGGACGTAGGGCGATTGATTATGCATAGTAGCGCTGATGGATGGATGGAGAGAGCGATTGACGGAGGTGTGGCCGTGTGTACAGGATGTGATGTGCATGCGATGCATACCTGGCGAGTTGGGCAAGAGAGAGAGCGAGAGAGAATCGGTGTGCAGACAGACAGGGAGGGCTGCACGCCTCAACCGGCCAGTGGAGACGGAAGAGCGAATGGGTTCCAAACACTCGTTTGCTCTAGCGTTTCCTCCTGGCTGGGCTGAAGCAGACAGTCCGTCCCTTTGAGGAAGTGTGGCTACACGATGGACGCCGAAGGGCCAGAGAGATGACAAGACAGACAGCAAGCGGGTGCTCTGGTGTGATGTGCATGGTGTCTGTGCGACCTGTGCCCGAATGCATGCATCGATGGCGGCGAGCCAAGGTGACGGAAACGGTGCGGTGGGAGGAGGAAGAGAAGGGGGCGGATGGTGGGGTGGATGAGAATGGATGGATGGAACAAACCAGGCCTCCCTCCGCAAGTGCTCGTGCGATGTATGTATGGTATGATGGATGCATTTGATGGTCGACTCACCCGATCGAATCGATTGTCTGACGTACGTGTGCAACATGCAGGTAGGTACACACAACGATCGAGTAGTGCACACACGCCGACTTGACTTGCAGACAGACATGCAAATGCGTCAGGAGCAGTCAACGGAACTACCATATGACTGACCCACACACGTCTGAAGAAAGCAAATTAGATTGCTCATGGTCGGTCGGTCCGTCACCCCTGCTGTGCAGCGAGCAGCTCTGCGCGTCTCTCTGCCTCCTCCCGCCGACGCTGCTCGCGGATCAGATGCACACGGAACCACTCCACAGCGCTACAGCGACACGTCCATACCATACGACATCACACACAGATCTGATCAATTCGCGTGTGTCGTTGGCAGCCATACGCGTATCTGTCTTCGTATGAGGTGAGTGTGTGGTCGAAGGTCTTGAGGGAAGGCAACGCACCGATGCAGTACCTGCATCAACGAACGCAAAAAGCGGTGGGTGCAACATCCGCCTGTCTGTCTGTCTCCCTCTCGGCCTGAGTGAGCGTCGCGGCTGACCATCTGTAGAAGTGGTGTGTCTTGTCTGAGATGGCTATCGGGTTGCCCAGCAAAGACAACGTCCTGCAGCCACAACACAACACAACACACACGAAGGAACGAACGAGACACATGAGAAACGGTTGGGTTGGGTCCATGCGGCTGGCCGGGTGAATGCATTGAACGCACCTCAGCTTTCGCAGCGCCCGCAGCTTCACCACTTCTGACAACCTGCATGTATGGTATGCAGCGAGCCAGATGCACTGCACCATGGCAATTGACAGCTCGTCTCTTCTGCGTGTGTGTTCCGGGGGAGAGGCTGGTTACTTGGTGATTTGGTTGCAGTGGAGGTTCAGTGTCTCTAGCTCACTGAACTCGACCAACACCTGCAGAACGAAGGAAAAGAGAAGATCCACATCACATCGTCCTGTGTGTATCTCGTGTGTGCAGCTGAGCTAGTACGGTACGTCCATACCGGGTCGATGCCCCTCAGCTGGTTGAACGACAGATCAAGCCTTCATGGACAAAGGAGCGAGTGCGTGAAGGGCCACCCATGTGTGTGTATAGGTGAGTCACCACCCACCAGAGTATGGACTGCAGGGGGTTGATAACAAACCGCGACAGAAAGGCAGGAAGCTCAGTCAAATGCACCAGCTGCATTAATTAAAGCGGAAACACAACGGTCGGTCGACCGGTCCCCACAGGTGATTCTGTGTGTGTACCTGTACCTCTACCTACCTTGTTGTTGTTCAATCGTGCGGCAGTGATGCTCTTCTGAATGTACAGCTTCCTCTCCTTCGACCCCACACCACCACCACCACCACCCCTACCATGACCAACACCTACACACACAGGCAACGCGACCAACAACACACCCATCCAATCCTCCCTACCCATCGCCCTCTCAGCCTACACAATCAAAATCGATCCCTACTCACTCTGTGATACGGCCGCTTGGCTGGTGGCGTGCGTGTGTCCATCGCTGACAGGCAGGCTCTGCGCCATGCCCGTCCGCTGGCTGGTATGATGGGAGCCGGGCAGCGGCTGTGAGTCGCTGAGGGGGAGGGGGCGGTCACTGGACGAGGCGGGGAGGGGGGGCGGGGAGGGGCTGTGACCAGATGCAGCTGGTGCTGTTGTTGGTGGGGCATCGCCTGGAGACGCTCCTCCTTGCGAGTAGAGGGCAGCGTTCACACACTTCAGGGCCATGTCCTTGTTCGACGGCTCCTCAACACAATCTGCAAACACACACACACACACACACACGCAATGGGCATATTGTCCCTTGTGCTGCCCGTCGCTTCCTCGGGCCCCACGCACCAGCCAAGTCGGTGATGTCTTTGAACTGCAGGTCCAGCACGATGCCGACGCCATAGGTCATCCCAGCGTATCGGCTCTTGGCGGCCACGGCGGCAGGCTGTGCGCCGGGAGTGGGGGACGCCATTTATCGAGTGCCTGTTGAGAGAACTCTTAAGAAGCAGCGAAACCGCCCGCTCTCGGCAAAAGATGGAAGGTGCTCGCCAATGGAAGCCAAAGGGACGTTGTGTGCCTCTCGAAGCAGCCACTCCTCTCCTCGGAAGGTTGTGCGATCCGTCTGCAAGCTTAGCTCAGAGGGGCAGAGATAGTGGAATAGCGGACGTGGCACAACCTCACACAGATACGGCAGCTCTTACTCATCCAGTTGCGACTCAATGGCTGAATCGCCCTCGTCTGGTGGTGTTCTCGTCATGCAGTTTGTATTTCGTTCTCGGGGCGATCTGGGTCTCTCAATTGGTCTCTCCCGCATCAACACGATGAGTCAGCGCGTGAAGGCGAAGGGCGGGCAGGTCATCCAGGACATCACCAGCACTTTCAGAGACGAGGAGGGCCGGGAGGTGAAGGAACTCAACCCCGCTATCACACACATCGTCGTGGCCAAGACACTCAGCAGACAGGTCAGGTGCGCTGACTGAATGATAATGGATTTTATCTCTGTTTGGCCTGTGTGTGACGTGTGTGCCTTCAGGGGTTTCTTCGTTTTCTCCACGACAGTTCCCTGACAGAGGAGTCCATCAGCGCTGGTCGGGCCAAGGTGGTGCGTGACGAGTGGATGACCAAGTCATCTCAGACGGGCAAACGACAAAACGATGAAGGTAGGTAGATCAGATCCCATGGAAAGAGTGAATCTTCACATGCAACAGTCTGCGTTGTGTGTTCAGCCTACCTGTATCAGTTCAACGAGAGCGCGCCAAGTGCGCCCTCGTCCACCTCTAGATCTGCTGCGGCCAGTGGTGGCTCCGACAGCCACACTACTCTCCCTCCCCCTCTCCCTCAGCCGACGGCTGTGTGCTGAGATCTGTCTGTGGTCCTTTGGCGTCCACTTTGCCTTAATTGTCAGCTGAGGTCGGCGACACAGACGCACACACACGTGGCGAGTCAGTCAGGTCAGTCAGTGAGTCAGTGAGGGACGCCTCGAGCATCGCCATGCATGATGTGAGACGGCCGCTCTGCTCTGTGTGCTGTGCTGCAGATGTCTGTCTGTCTGTCTATCTGTCTGTTGAGTGAGTGAGTGAGTGAGTGGGGCCGTCCGTCATGACGACAGACAGACACTGCTGCAGCTGAGGGCGCCGAGGTGACTTGCCGCTGACTGCACTCGAAACCGCAGCGGTGCGCAGGCAGACACACACACACAGACACACACACACACACACAGAGATGGCATGGATGTGACACACAACAGGAGAGAATCAGCCGGCTGTCTGTCTGTCTGTCTGTCTGTCTGTGTGTCTGTGTGTGTGGTTTGTGTGGCGTGCAGGTGTGGTTGGCTGGCGGGTTTGACGACTGACGATGGCCGCTGAGTGCTGCTCGTCTGTGTCTGTGTGTCTGTGTGTGTGTGTGTGATGTGTCGGCCGATGTGTCGACGACTGACTGACTCGATCTGCTGAATCGCTTTGTGTCTCTCGTGGGTTGGCCGCCCTTTGTGTGTCGCGGGGGGGTCTTTGTTGTGCCGTGTCGGATTGTGGGGATGGCCGCCGTGGTTTGTATGTGAGCTTGGGAGTCTGGCTGGAGGAAGGTGCATTGTCACATCTATCTCGTGGGGCTTTCTACATACTGGGTGTGTGATGGGAGAGAGAGAGATGGCACAATTGAGGGAGAGACAGAGTGATTTGGTTCGGTGCTGTGGTGCTGCGATGTGCTGTTCCTGCGTGTGTCGGTGCGCTGGCTGTCTCGTGCCCGGCGGACACAGCACACAGTGAGCGTTGATCATCACTCTCTGCGTGCGGTGGCCGTGTGCACACAAAGGAAAGACAAAGGCACAACTTTGACTCATACGGGTTGTGTCAACGACTGGTCTGGTGCGAAGGCGAGGCCCAAAGGGCCGAGCCGAGCAACGACCAGCCAGAGATTGACTCAAATGCGGAGGGCACCGAAGGTGCCCGAAGCGCCGACGGCAGGTCAGTCAATGTGAGTGATTCATGAGTGGTGGAGCGAGGGATGCGCGAAGCGCAGACCGACGCGGAGACACACCACTGCAAGGGATGGAGGGATGGATGCATGCAGGTGACTGTCTGTCTGTGTGTCTTTTGTCTAGGTGAGTGATGATGTTGGTGTGTTGGTGTGCTCAGCTCACTTCGTAGGTTTCCCTGTCCTTGAGGATCTTGATGTTCTCGATCTCACCTGAACACACACATCGATGGAAGAAGGAATGGCGCATCGCGCGCATCAATCCACACCACCACCCCCATCCTCTTCCACACTGGCTGCTGTATATGTGTGAGAGGGGGTGGCTGTTCCACACTGGCTGCTGTATATGTGTGAGAGGGGGTGGCTGTCGTGTGTTGGTCGGCCTTTTCTCTCTGTGTGGACTGTGTGGGGTTTTGCGTGTTGGCCGTCTGCTGCCGTGAGTGTGTGGGCCGTGAGTGTGGTGGCCTGGGGAAATATGACAGACAGCCAGACAGACAGAGAGAGAAGGGGACGATTGGCTGCACAGAGAGTCGCTGTGTGGGGCGGTGTTTGGGCTGCCGTCTGTCTGTGTGTGGTGTTTGTGTGACGCCTGTTCGCGAGAGTGTGTTGCTCTCTCGTCGGTGCATCCGTTACACACGGGCGGCTCACAGACAGACAGGCAGGCCGACACCAGAGAGAGAGAAATCTGTCGCGTCATGCATGAGGTGTCTGGTCTTCGCCTGCATGAATGTCTGCATCTCGTGTGGTGTTGGTGCTTTGGGGTTGCCGGGCGTTGACAGAAGTGACCACAGAGGCAAACGGACAGACACGCGACACGGAGAGAGAGAGAGCTCTGTTTGGTTCCCTTTGGTGTGCATCGTGTGTTGGTGTGCTGGCTGTCACACGCTTCTCGGACACAGCACACAGTGAGTGTCCTTTCTCACTCTCTGTGTGCCGTAGCCGTCGAGCATCTGACAGGCAGACACTGTCCACACAAAGGAAGAGAGACTGTTCCCTATCTATCTTTCTGGTTTGGTACCGTAGTATTTTCCTCTCCTCACTAACCTGTCTGGTAGAGTGGCAGCGTCTTACTGTGTCTGTTTTACGCCTGGGAGATTCAGTGCATGGACTCACTCGAATCTCCCTGTCAATGATGATGGATAACGCTTCGCTAGAAAAGGGAGGGAAGGCCCCCCCCCAGCGTCGCAGCGGCGCAATAGCACGGAACAATAGGAAATGACGTTGAGAATCGGAGTTAGAGTCTCGTTAAACGACTCCTGCGGCCCAAAGGGCGAGAAGGCCTCGCGCCCTGGGCGAGAGACGAACGGCCTAAAGGGCGAGAGCTAAGACCCAAGGGCGAGCCGATTGGCCATTACGATATATTCCGATCACCCCGAAGGACAGAATTGCCGATTTGTTGATCTTTTCGGTACTTGTCGATTTTTCACCGATTCCAGCCATCCTCATCCCTTCAGTGACTCGTACCTAACGACTGTGAAGCTGCCTGCTTGATTGCTCAAGAAGGAAGTCAAACCAACCAAGCCCAAGGAGTCAAGGCGCGCCACGAAGCAGACGGAGAGCCGTGTTGCCGAGGTTGCTGGCCTCAGCAGTTGTCGTGAGTGAGTGAGTGAGTGTGTGTATCAGTCGTGTCAGAGCCTGCCGTCGTCAGCAGGTGTGGTGCAGTGCCGTGTGTGACTGCTTGTGACCTTGTGAGACCTTCTTCGTGTGCGTGTGCCTGTCGTTGAATCGTGAGTGTCTCCCATCGAGAAGTGTCGTCAGTAGAACATTGAGTAGGCGCTATCTCAATAGCGTGAACCGAACCCCACCCCTTAACATGTTTGTCTGAAATGGTGTGTAGTGTACGTGGTATTGTATGTGGTTTTCCTGCAGGCGGATGTCTTCACCTCGCTCTCTGTAGTGTCTGGTTTCGCTGCTTTGAAGTTGTCGTGGGGCGACAGATAGAGATGCTGAGATAGGGAAAATTGAACACACAGAGTCTGCTTGCTCATTTCACTTACGGCAATGGACGTGTCCTTTTGCCGTCCGTCTGTATACCTACACACTAACATGGATGGAAGGATGGATGGATGTATGTGTTGTATGCATTGCATGCTCTTACGGGTTCTGTGCCTCTCTCTCTCTCTCCTTCTATAGAATATGTCTGTGACATATATAGGTGGAAAGAAGAGTGAGGGAGAAATGGACGCATGAGTGAGGGAGAGGTGTTTGTTTGCTTCGCTCTATCTGTGGATCGTCTGTTGATGTGCTTACTGTTATTGGGTCGTTTTTGAGCGAACATGATGAGTGTTCATTCTCACTCTCTATGCGCCGTGGCCATCAAGCATATGACAGACACATACAATCTACAACCCCCAAGCAGATGGATAGACAGAAGCCGGACAGAGGACAGCTGTGCTGACGAGACAGAACAAAATAAACTCTGTCTTCTCATACCTGCCTCTGCATACTGAAATATAGCCTCTAAGCACCTCTAAGCCATGCACAATATACTTTATACACATACATTCCTCAGGGCGCCACAGATAGTGAGTGAGTAGCAGTAAGCCGCTGCCACACATCGTCACACACACGATGCGGCTCAATCAAATAACAACACCTAAACCCTCACACACACACGTTCTCTCTCTCTTCGTCCTTCTTCTCTCTCTCGCACTCTCTCTCTCTCCCTCCGCTTTAGGGTTTAGGGCTTAGGGTCTAGGGCTTAGGGCCCAGGGCCTAGGGTTCAGGGTCTAGGGTCTAGGGTCTAGGGTTTAGGGTGTTTAGGGCTTAGGGTTTAGGGTTTAGGTTTAGGGTTTAGGGTTTAGGTTTAGGTTGTTTAGGGTTTAGGGTCTAGGGTTTAGGGTTTAGGGTTTAGGGTTTAGGGTTTAGGGTTTAGGGTTTAGGGTTTAGGGTTT